CATGACCAACAACAACAACAAAAAGAGCTCTGATAAAGCATAGTGTCATAAAGTAGGTAGAAGATATTTTACATCACAGAGGCATGGTACAATCCTGTCCTATTTCTGTAACACTTGAGGATACAATTGAAAGGGTATTATTGAGACTTGAGTCTACTTTTCCAGCAGAGGGCCAGGGCTCGAAGGATGGTATGTAAAGAAATGCATTTTCTTAGGATTTCCTTCCATTAGTTGCACAGTTCTAAGTATTGGCTGTGTTCATGAACAACAGCTACAAACCATTTGAAAATTGGGGAGAGGGAGCAGGAAGAGAAAACAAAAACAAAAAAACAAAGACCTTATCCTACATATCGATTCATACAGAAGAGCTGACTGAGTAAAGTCAAGTAAGACTCAACCTAACAATGTTTTATCTTATCCGTTATGTTTGAATGTAATGCCAAAGTTGTGTTTGATTTTGCTTTCAAGTGCTGTGGTTATATTACATTAAAATGTAGTACTAAGAAGGTGGCAAACAATGATTTGGAAACAACAAATCTAATCAGTGCTTAGAAAGGTCACTGATGACTTTTTCTCAGACCTGGGTTTATGTGGCTTACCTAGCATTTCTGTTTCTGGTATCTCTGCTATATTCCTCTGGCCTCAGTATACCACAACAAACTTGATTCTCTGCTATGTCCCAGTCTTTCCTCTTCTCAGTCTTTTGTTATTGCCATTTATCCCAGATCATGGTCTTTATTTGTCTGAAACACTTATTTATTTATTTGTCGGTTGTGAACTCTGGGCCTTGGCGCTGTCCCTCAGCTCTTCAGATCAAGGCTAGCTCTCTACCACTTGAGCCACAGTACCACTTCCGGTTTTCTGAGTGCTTTATTGGAGATAAGAGTCTCATGGTTTTCCTACCCAGGATGGCTTTGAGCTGAGATTCTCAGATCTCAGCCTCATGAGGTAGCTAGGATTACAGGCGTGAGCCACTGGTGCCCAGCTTTATTTATTCTTTGTACATTTTTTATTGTAAAAATACTGTACAGAGGGGTTACAGTTACATGAACAAGGTCATGAGTACATTTCCTATCGAGCATTGTTTCCTCCTCCTTTGTTTTTTCCCCTACCATTCCTTCCCTCCCACCTCCACAACTATACTCCCTCCCCCCCCTTGTCTGTAACACTTCTTTGGTGACTTTTTTGATGTTTGTTTTCAGTGCTAGGGAATAAAGCAGAGTCTCTTCCATAATAGACAAGCACTCTACACTGAGCTGCATATACCTCAGCTCAAAACTTTTCTGAGGGGCTGAGAATGTGGCTTAGTGGTGGAGCGCTTGCTTACACGAGTTAAGTCCTGGGTTCAGTTCCTCAGCACCACATACACAGAAAAGGCCGGAAGTAACACTATGGCTCAAGTGTAGAGCGCTTGCCCTGAGCTGAAGAGCTTGGAGACAGTGCCCAGGCCTTGACTTCAAGCCACACCACCACCAAGAAAAAAAAAAAAGTAAAAGACTGAGTAAAAATCAGAAAAGTTTTTGTTGTTGTTGTTTCCTTTCTTTGCCAGTCCTGGAGCTTGAATTCAAGGCCTGAGCACTGTCTCTGAGCTTCTTTTGCTCAAGGCCATTATTCCGCCACTTGAGCCACAGTGCCACTTTCAGTTTTCTGGTGGTTAATTAGAGATAAAAGTCTCACAGCCTTTCCTGTACTGTTAAATACTACGCATATGCCAACAATCCACACACACATAAAATTTTCAGATGAGTTTGGTGCTGAATTTAACAATGGAAATTTTTAAAAGTGGGGTTGGAGGCGTGCCTCAGTTGGTAGAAGGCTAGCCAGTGAGTGAAAGTGGGGTTGGAGGCGTGCCTCAGTTGGTAGAAGGCTAGCCAGTGAGTGGAAGTGGCAGGTCCTGCATTCAAGTCCCAGAATCTGACCTAAAAAATAAGGAAAAGGAATTTCTAAGAGTCTTACTTAACTCCCATCGTTTTGGCAATCATTTTTGGCAGTCCAGGCTGGTGACATCTTTCCAACATACCCTTCTTCCCTTTGAAGTGTTTATTTGAATATTTAAAAATAATTAGAAGGAGGAGCTGGGAAGGTGGCTCAGTAGTAAAACACTTGCCTTACATGCGTGAGGCCCTGGGTTTGATTCCTCAGCACCACATAAGCAAAAAGAAAAAAGCTACAAGTGGTGCTGTGGCTCAAGTGGTAGAGTGCTAACCTTGAGCTGAAGAGCTGAGGGACAGCACCCAGGCCCAGAGTTCAGGCCCCCCCACCCCCAAAAAAATAGAACGAACAGTATGTGGTGGTGAAATGTAATCAAGTCCAATATTTCATTCTTTGTTCACAGTGGAAGTATAAAACTTAGAAAACTAGACATGATATGTGTGTATGTACCATGATAATAATTATGCTGGGAGAAATTAGGTGCTGGCTTCTACATAATTTTTATCTTTTTTGGTCAGTCATGGAGCTTGAATTCCAGGCCTGGGCACTCACTGTCCCTTAGCTCTTCAGCTCAAGGCTAGAATTCTACCACTTGAGCCACAGCACCACTTCCGGCTTTTTCTGTTTATGTGGTGCTGAGGAATTGAACCCAGGGCTCATGCATGCAAGGCAAGCACTCTATCTCACTGAGCCATCTTCCCACCCAACATATTTATTTTTTCTTAACAGCAGTGGAGAGCATATGTTTCTCTCTACCTCTCTCCATACGTTTGCCAAATCAGTTCCTGCATCAGGACAGATTTCTGTTGCTTAACCAGTAATCTGAGATAGAAATAGAGAAGCGTTGAATCTGAGCAGGTAAGGGCTAATCTCAGTGTTGGACTGAAATTTATGTCTGATCCACTTATTTAGGTAGTTTTAGATAAAGCTTGAGAAGTATGATTTTTTTTCCCATTGTTCTTTTTGAGGACTTGAGTTTTCCACCCCAGATACTGGCTTTGTAACACTCTGGTTTTGTCCTATGCCTCGAGCCTTTTTCATTCTTATTCATTGGTCGTCTTCTTTCTGACTTGGAGCCAAGTGGCCTATGTGACTTTTTAGGTCTTACTCATTGCTTGGCTTCCCCCCCCCCCCCCCCCCCCCCGCCCCAACGCTATCATCCTAGACTATTTTGTGATGCTGATGGTTTTGTTTTGTTTCAGTGGGGCCATGGTTTTTCTTTTGTATATTGTCCATATGCTGATAACTCATAAATCTGTACAATTAAAAAAGTGTCTACATGGAGTCTTCTTATGTGTAGCCCACTTTGGCCCTGAATTCACTTTTTCGCCCTAGCTGGCCTCAAATCTACTATCCTTTTGTTTCTGCCTTCTTAGTGCTGGGATTGTAGGCCTGTGTCAATATCACTGGCAGCCATAGCCCTGAAATATTCTCCTTTCACCTCAATGTGATTAGAAGTGTGGGAAGAGACAAATCATGTTAGTTTTCTTTATTGATCTGGAGTTTTAGGTTTGAACCCAGGCTTTCCCCCTCCCCACCTTTTCTTTCTTGGTACTTGTTCTGGGGCTTGAATTCTTCAGGGCCTGGGCACCGCCCCTGAGCTTTATTTATTTATTTTTTTAAATTTTTTAATTTTTTTGGTCTGGTCGTGGGGCCTGAACTCTGGGCCTGGGCGCTGTCCCTCAGCTCTTCAGCTCAAGGCTAGCGCTCTACCACTTGAGCCACAGCACCACTTCCGCTTTTTTTTCTTTTGGCTTATGTGGTGCTGGGGAATCGAACCCAGGGCCTCATGCATGCAAGGCAAGCACTCTACCACTGAGCCACCTTCCCAGCCGCCTCCCCCTCCCCCTCCCCGAGCTTTATTGTGTCCAAGGCTAGCACCCTACCACTTGGGTCACAGCTCCAGTTGTTCTTTTGGTTTTTGGTGGTAGTTAATTGGATATAAGAGTCTTCTAGGCTTTCCTGCTGCTGGTAGCCTCCTGAGTATCTAGGGGGATTACAGACACAAGCTATCTGTGCTTGGCTTTGAATGTATTTTTATTCTTAAAAAAAAATCTTTATGTCAGCTTTAGCATCCACATTTTAAAAAAGTAATCAAAACTTACATTGACCCCTCACACTTCAGCCTAACGTTTGTTTATGTGACAGTGTCTAACATCAAGACAGGGGCTTTCATCATAGTCCTGAGCTAAAGACCCAGACTGTCCTCTGAATGGGTATCAATTAGTTTACGTTCCTAAACATCTAGGGTTAACGTCTTTAAAAATGATGGATTATATTGCATACATTTTAGATGTAAAAGTTCATAAATCTAAACCTCAGGAAAAATGTTTAATTTTCTCCACATTTTCTGAGGGGACCTGAAAAGACACCTTTTTTCATTGCTGTTTTCCTTCCTGCAGTCCTGCAAGCCCTTCTTTACCTTTTCAAGCCTCTATTCTTTCTTTTAGCTAGGTGTCAGTGTCATGGTTGATACTAGGGGATGAATTATATATATCATACCCAAGCACTTAGAGTAGCATCCTGTTGCTGTTTCATTTCATTTCATTTCTCTGAGTTTTATTGGGGGGGGTAGCTAAAATGAGATTGTTCCCTCCTGCATGGGTGAGACAGTCACGTGTGCAGTGAAATACTGCATAGAAATACTGCCACCTTCGCAGTCATGCTTGTGAAATAATTTATTTTGGGTCTTTCATTAGCTTTTTAAAAATCCCCACCAAATTGTGTGTATTTTTTCCTACTGTGATTACAAAATTATTGAATGATCCTGGGTAACAAGAAGAAAATAAGCATCCAGATACTACATTTTAAATCTTTCCATGCAGTTTTTCAGGAGAAAATTTAGTTTCGAAGCTTTGGATGTTTATTCTTGAATTTTGTGTCCCGATATAGTTGTGCTTATATTTTTATTTTTCCTTTTTTTTTTCTTTTTGAGGGTGGTGCTAAGGATTGAACCTAGAGCTTTATGGGTGGTAGGCAAGAATTCTACCACTTAGCTATAATTTCAGCCCCTTAATCTCTCTCTGGTTAGGAAACCAGTTAGAGCTGTTGGATATGAAGACTAGACAATGTCGTATCAAAGTGGGTTGGTATTTATTCAGTGAAAACATATAACAGTAATTAAAGACATTTTTGAATGCTTGGAAATTTAAAAACTTTTTTTTTCTTTTTTAATAGGATGGATTAAATTCCTTGGTCCTTGATTTGGATTTTCCTGCTTTAAGGAAAAATAAGAATATAGATAATTTCTTAAATAGATGTAAGTATGCTTGTTTTTAATCAGATTTCATCAAATAGTTGTACTTTTGCTAGGATATTTGTTTGATATTTTGGTGCATAATAGATGTAAGTATGCTTATTTTTAATCGTATTTCATCACATAGTTGTACTTTTGCTAGGATATTTGTTTGATATTTTGGTGCATACATTTATTAGCTTGGTTAACTATTAGCTCATTAACTTAATTATTTTTGTTGGTTGTGGGGCTTGAACTCTGGGCCTCCGCGCTGTCTTGAGCTCTTCGGTTCAAGGCAAGTGCTCTACCACTTGAGCCAAAGTGCCACTTTTGATTTTCTGATGGTTAATTGGAGATCAGAGTCTCATGGACTTTCTGAACTGGGCTGGCTTTGAGCCATGATCCTCAGATCTCAGCCTCCTGAGTAGCTGGGCATTATAGACATGAACCTCTGGCACTGGGCTCGCTCATTAGCTTATTAAGCAAGGTGTGTTGTTGTTTTGTTTTAAAAGTTAACCCTTTGTTCTTGTTTAAACCGGTATTCCTTTCTTTGTTTTTGGTTGGTGGTGGGGCTTGAACTCTGGGCTTGGGTGCTGTCCCTGCGCTCTTCAGCTCAAGGTGAGTGCTCTACCGCTTGAGCCAAAGTGCCACTTCCGTTTTTTTAGTGGTTTATTGGAGATAAGAGTCTCACAGACTTTCCTGCCTAGGCTGGCTTTGAACCTCGATCCTCAGATCTCAGCCTCCTGGGTAGCTAGGATTACAGGCGTGAGCCACGGTCGCCCAGCTTAAACCAGTATTCTTTCAAAGAAAAAGTGCAAAATGAAATTGCAATGTGTAAAGTACATAAAGTTCAAAATTTTATATAATTATTAAAACCAGATACTTTCAGACAAATTATGGCTTTTCCAAGAGAAGCTTTAAATAAATATTGAGATCTCTCATACTTTTTTTTAATCTCACACTTTTATATTAGTAATCTTTATGTTTCTATATATGTGGAAATTGAAGGAAAAATAATTTGACAGTTACTAGAAGATACGTGGTTATCTTTAATATATGCTAGTATTGGTGTTGGGAATAAATTGAATTCTTAGAATGAGAAATTCTTAAAATGATTGATACATGCTTTTTATCACCATATACACTTTTTACTTTGGAGTTGACAAATTAGTTAATTAATGGGGGATATTTCCCCCACTAAGCACTCTTGTCTGTAGTTACTGTACATCATGAAATACATAAGTCATCTTAAAAAAAAATAGGCTGACAAGATTTATTACTAAGATTAGCCTTGAGGGTAACTTCATAGCAGCGGCCTGCTGTGTCTGCAATGCATACTAGATTACCTGGGTCCTCACTGTGTTAGCTGACATTTACTTGCCAAGCAACAGAGTGAGAAATAAAGTAGCTTAATTGTTGCTTTTTGCCAGTTAATAGTCTTCATGTAACCATATTAAACCATGGAGTGACATGGAGGCTCACAAAATCCTAGCTACTTAACAGGCTGAGATCTGAGGATCTCAGTTCAAAGCCAGCCTTGGCAGGAAAGTCCATGAGACTCTTTATTTATTTATTTTTTGGGGGGTCTGGTCGTTGGGGCCTGAATTCTAGGCCTGGGCGCTGTCCCTCTACTCTTCAGCTCAAGGCTAGCGCTCTACCACTTAAGCCACAGTGCCACTTCCAGCTTTTTCTTTTTGCTTATGTGGTGCTGAGGAATCGAACCCAGGGCCTCATGCATGTAAGGCAAGCCTTCTACCACTGAGCCACCTTCCCAGCCCAAGTCCATGAGACTTTTATCTCCAATTAACCACCAGAAAACTGGAAGTAGTGCTACAGCTCAAAGTGGTAGAGCGCTAACCTTGATCAAAAAGCTCAGACAGAACCCAAGCAATGAGTTCAAGCTTCATGACTGCGCCCCTCCCCACCCAAAAATAGCAAAAACCAAAAAAAATCACAAACAAAAAAAAATGTGGAGTGTTCTGGTTCTCTGATGTTAGTTAGAATAATGTTTATCTTAGAATCTTAAAATAGGAGCCTTTAAATGCCATTTTGTAAATGAACTTCATTTGTGAAGTAAAAATAGGCTTACAAATTTGGTGATTATTTTAAAATACTGCTAATAAGTATGATGACTGCTATTACAAATATGATGATATTTTTATTGTAGATGAGAAAATTGTGAAAAAAATCAGAGGTTTACAGATGAAAGCAGAAGACTATGATGTGGTGAAAGTAATTGGAAGAGGTGCTTTTGGTGAAGTCCAGTTGGTAAGAACATAGGATTTAACCGTGGTTTAAGATTTCTTTTTTCTTTGACTTTTTTTTTCTTTTGGTTTGGTGAAACATTTTAATTAGTAGCAGCTTAATAGATGTGACCTGAACAGTCATGCTTTAAGTTTGTTTACTGACCTTAGTCACATCACTGTCTGAGGGCTGTGTTACTCCCTGTAAGAGGAGGCAGTTGTGTTCCTAACCATGTTCTGCCAGCTCTGAAACATTGAGTATTAATACAGCTTTGTTTCACATATGACTTGTTAGCAGTTAATTTTCCAACACAACAAGTGTGTGTGTGTGTGTGTGTGTGTATGTGTTGTACCGGTGTGTGTGTGTGTGTGTGTGTGTTGTACCGGAACAACTCTGTGTGTGCGTATGTGTGCACTGGTCTTGCAGTTTTAAATCAGCCTGGGTGTGGTCTTGAGTTTTGTTTTGTTTTTTGTTCAAGGCTATTGCTCTGTCACTTGAGCCACAGCTCCACTTCCAGCTTTTTTTGTAGTTTATTGTAGTATTTTCCTGCCTGGGCTGGGATTGGACCATGATCCTTAGATCTCATTTTCCTCCTGAGTAGCTAGGATTATAAGCATGAGCCACTTGGCACTTGGCACAACTTGTTTTTTTGTTTTTGTTTTTGGTCAGTCATAGGGCTTGAACTCTGGGCCTGGGCGATGCCCTCCGACTCAAGCCTAGCGCTCTACCTATTGAGCCAGTGCCCCTTCCAGTGTTCTTAGTGGTTTATTGGAGATAAGAGTTTCACAGACTCTTGCCTGGGCTGGCTTTGAACCACAATCTTCAGATCTCAGCCTCCTGAGTAGCTAGGATTACAGGTGTGAGCCACTGGCACCTGGCACTTGTCATTTTTAATGTCACATTATTTGCTGTTCTGTATTGATTTGATTGTTATAATTCAGTGTATATATATATATATATATATAGAGAGAGAGAGAGAGAGAGAGAGAGAGAAGGCTTTTATTTTTGTTGTTGCTATTCATTTTCCATTCCAGAATTGGTATTGGACACAAAATATGAAGAAACAAAGTCATATGTTTTTAAAAATGAAAAATATTTTAACATTCCATTAATCTGATGGCCTGACATAAGAGCTTGTGGCATGTTTGTTTTGGCTTTACTTCTTGGCTCTTACTACCTTAGGCAAGAATGCTTTAAAAAGGAAGTATAACATAAGGAAAAATCCAAGTATTTCAACCACCTTAGCTTTCCAAAGTTGATTTGTATGTAGTAAATTAGTAGACATGTAGGGAGAATGTTCCACATTTGATACATCTTTAGGATTATGTTTTTTTTTTTAGTTAGACAAAGCCAGCCTGATAGTATGTAATGTAAATTTGTCTTTCCTTAGGAAGTGCTTTATCTGGCCCACTTAAAAATATTACCACAATTAATTTCAATAAATAAAATTCTTAACGTAAAAAATCATTTTAGTGGGGCTGGGAAGGTGGCTTGGTGGTAGAGTGCTTGCCTTGCATGCATGAGGCCCTGGGTTCGATTCCTCAGCACCACATAAGCAGGAAAAGCCGGAAGTGGTGTTGTGGCTCAAGTGGTAGAGTGCTAGCTGAAGAGCTGAGGGACAGCACCCAGGCCCAAAGTTCAAACTGACAAAAAACAACAACAACAAAACCCCCAAAAAATTATGAAAAAAAGTGTTGATTTATCTTCAATGGGTGTCTATATTTTATCCTGATTATTTTCATTTTAGAAATGCTAAAACTTTTGCTGCTGAATTATGGAAATTTCGCCCCAATATTAAAAATTGTTTTATATGTACTATAATGTTCAAAGTAGAATGAGAAAGTAATTTAACAATTTATCTTTTATAATTTGCCTGGTTTGAATATAACTTTCTCAATTCTTCATTCTAAAGGTGTATATGTATGAGTGTATGTGTGTGTGTGTGTGTGTGTGTGTGTGTGTATATATATATATATATATATGTCCATAGTTTTATAAGTTATGTTTTTTAAATGCAACAACAAATAGTAACATACACTGTTATAGCAATTACATCCTATGAGGCCACCTTCTGAATAATTTGCATATTTAGCAGCCAGTTTCATCTTGGGAAATTAGAATTGTCGGTCGTGGGACTTGAACTCTGGCTTGGACGGTGTCCCTCAGCTCTTTAGCTCCAGGTGCTTGCTACTGCTTGAGCCACAGTGCCACTTCCAGTTTTCTAGTGGTTTATTGGAGATAAAGAGTCTCACGGACTTTCCTGCCAGCCCGGACGGGCAGGAAAGTCCGGGCTGGCTTTGAACCATGATCCTCAGATCTCAGCCTCCTGAGTAACTAGGATTACAGGCGTGAGACACTGGCGCTAGGCTGAGAAATTAGAATTCTTAATTTCTTCTCAGCTCTTCCTCTATGAATCCATTCCTTCTGTTATCTTCCTTGTAGCAGTAAACTAGTTGCTCAAGCCCAAACAGAACAAAACAAACACAAGAAAGAAAAGAGCTTAAAACAGGTAGGATTGATTTCTTTATTCCACCCCTTCCTCTATTGAATTAAAGAACCTGGACTTCTAGATCTAATCTAACACAAACTGCTCCTACTCTGAATTTATCTGTGAGATACATTCATGATTTCACCCTCTGTGTAATGGATCCTTCACCTACTAAATGAAATGTGAAATCCTCTTTTATGATCTCACCAATGTTACCTTTTTAACCCTTGTCTTCCACCTTGCTATTCATCCTAAGTAGGTCACTTATTTCTGAGCATGCTTTGTTTTTTTTTTCAGTCACATATTTCAATGCCAGTGCTTATTTTGAAAGAAAACTTTCTAAGGCGTGGCTCAAGTGGTAGAGTACCAGCCTTGATTGAAAAAGCCAAGTGAGATCTTAAGGCCCTGAATTCAAACCTCACTACTGACATGTTAACCCCCCCTCCCCCCCACACACACACACTCACAGAAGACAGAAAACTTTCCTAGTTTTTACTCTTCATTCTTTCATTCTACCTTTCATGTGAATGAGACTTCTCTGTGCAATATGTAGTTACAGTTAGTTTATTTTAGTTACTGTATCTTACATTGCACTTTTTATCTTTAATTCCTCCTTTGATTCTGTCAGTTTTTGTTTTTTTCTTTTTTTGTTGGTCATAGGGCTTGAACTCTGGTCCTGGGCGCTGTCCCTCAGCTCTTCAGCTCAAGGCGAAGAGCTCCAGTGCCACTTCGGTTTTCTAGTGGTTTATTGGAGATAGGAGTCTCACGGTCTTTTCTGCCTGGGCTGGCTTTGAACCGAGATCCTCAGATCTCAGCCTCCTGAGTAGCTAGGATTACAGACGTGAGCCACCTGTGCCCCGCGTTGATTCGGTCAGTTTTTTAAGGGCAAAAACTGTATCTCTCAAGTACTTAGGAGAGTCTCATCAGAAATTAATGGCTTCTCATCTAAAATAGTTCGCCCATATCTGATAATACAATCTTTAATATGTATACAACTTTAGAAAGACTATCTAGAATGGCAGAGACAAAGGCAACCCTTACTGTGTAGCCATTTCTTGGTTCATCCCTGCATATTGGTAATCAGTATGTATTCATATCTGATTTTGAATTTTTGTTGTCTTTTTAAATCCCATATAGTATAGATAGAACGTTGGACATAGAAAGTCTTCATTGAAGTGTTGTCTGTGGTCCTTGATCCCAGGACTCAGGATGTTTTCTGGGTACCTCCTGACTTGTTTTTAACTCTGTGTGTGTGTGTGTGTGTGTGTGTGTGTGTGTGTGTGTGTGTGTTGTTTTTAACAGTGAGTGTGTGTGTGACTTGTTTTTAACTGTGTGTGTGTGTGTGTGTGCGCTCGCCAGAAAGCGAGAAAGCATACACACACATGCTTGCTTCCCAAACTTGGGGCTTAACCTTAGGAGACCTGGGCACTGGGCCAGCTTTTTGGTGATTAATTGCCCAGGTCGGCTTCAAACTACAATCCTCAGATCTCTAACCTCCTGAGTAGCTAGGATTACAGGTGTGAGTCACCATCACCTAGTACTAACAGTTTTAAAGCAGCTTTGAAAAGCAGAAATCTGCCTAAGGCAGGATGTGAGAGACATGATTTTTCAATACTCATGTGACCTAAACTTTAAATCTTTGTATTTTTTTGAATAAAACTGTCTCACTTTATGTTTTGTTAATCCTTGTATTTTTGTTAATTTATTGTTTTGGCTGCTTCATTAACAGTACACTAACAGGTCTGCCAAATAGACACATTGGATCTTCTTATGAGAAATTAAAGTATGTAAGTTTTGGTAGTAAAATACATTTGAAAGCCTCAAATGTGTTTTTGTTAGAATGATTTAAAAAAGCCTTTGGGGCTGGGAAGCTGGCTCAGTGGTAGAGGCTTGTCTCACATGCATGAGGCCCTAGGTTCAATTCCTCAGCACCACATATAAACAGAAAAAGCTGGAAGTGGTGCTGTGGCTCAAGTAGAGTGCTAGCCTTGAGCTGAAGAGCTCAGAGACAGCGCCTAGGCCCAGAGTTCAAGCCCTATGACTGTCCAAAAAAAAAGCCTCTGTAAATGTACCAAGAGGTTTACTTCAAAATCTCTCCATTTAAAATGTCTCATCTGTTTAAGCTTTTTTTAATAGAAATATAAAAAGTAGTACTTACTAATTACAAAAAGAACAAAGAAACGGAAAAAAAAAGAACATTCAAAATTCTGTGATCTGCCGGGCGCTAGATCTGCCAGGCTAATGCCTATAATCCTAGCTACTCAGGAGTCTGAGATCTGAGGATCATGGTTCAAAGCCACTCGGGCAGGAAAGTCCATGAAACTCTTATCTCCAGTAAACCACTAGAAAACTGGAAGTGGTGCTGTGGCTCAAGTGATAGAGCGCTTGCCTTGAGCTGAAGAGCTGAGGGACAGCGCCCAAGCCCAGAGTTCAAGCCCCACAATCGATCCCCCCCCCAAAAAAAATTCTGTGATCTGAAATACAACCACAGGTAGTCTTTTGTCACTCTCCTCCTTGTTTTTGGCTATTTCGCTTCAAAGATATAGTCAGGTGCTTGAGACACTGATGTACTGTAGAATTAAAAACAAGGAATTTGACAACTTTTTAAAAATAATAATAAAAAGAACAATTAGAATAGGAACACTGCTTTTGTTTTTTAGGTCCTAGCCTAATGATATGTGCCACTTGATAATGGTATGAGCTATGTTCCATTTACCTGTGGAGTTAGCATTTTTTATTGTGTATGTTCTATATCCTAAGTATTTATAGCCATTTTCTCATTTTTATCTTAACAGCTATGAGATTTATTTATTTATTTATTTTTTTGGGTCCAGTCGTGGGGCCTGAACTCTGGGCCTGGGCGCTGTCCCTCAGCTCTTCAACTCAAGGCTAGTGCTCTACCACTTGAGCCACAACAGCACTTCCGGCTTTTTTCTTTTTGCTTATGTGGTGCTGAGGAATCGAACCCAGGGCCTCATGCATGCAAGGCAAGTGCTCTACCACTGAGCCACCTTCCCAGCCCCAGCTATGAGATTTTTATGTAGATGAAATCACTGAAATTTAAAGGGATCAGTTAAATTTGCCACCTTATTTAAAATATGTAGGACTTTGCCGAGGTTTGTTGACAACTATGTTTTTAAGCTTTACTCTGTACAATGGTTATAAATAGCTACTGCATCTGATTGGTTATGTATCTGTCCATCTATACGGAATAGAGGAATAGGAGCTGGAGAATAAAGGGAATCCCAGAAATGCTGAGGGAAATTATAATAGGCTAACTCAGAGAAAGATCAGTGGAAACCAGCTTTCCTAAAGTAACATGTTACTGGGGTACTTTGTAACATCACTGCTAATGAATTTTAAAGGTACAGTGTAGACATTTGGCATGAATAAGACTATTGCCCCTTAGTGTTTGCTCTGCACATTAAATTATGTCAAAGACCACAAGCTGTGGTTTTCATATCTTGTGTTATGAGCCAGTAGGTGTCCTATCAATGTAAATGGCATTCAGTTCTTATGAATTAGAACATCTAGGCATTATTCAATACCATGCAGATACAGATAATGATTTGTTGAATGTACAACTCACCATTGTGCCAACCACTAGGCAGTCTAACAATGAAGAAGTTCTTTTCTATTCCTAAAGGAGCTTTTGGAACACACAATGCATTTATTAGATGATTGTAGGTACTGTGCAAAGTGGGGAGCTGTTTGTATCACGAAAAGGAAATCAAAAACATTTTCTTCATTCTGAAAGAATTTTATGGCCAAGTAATTTACGCCATTTTATGCCATAATTTTTTTGTTTATTTTGGTGCATGGCTGTGTCCTTGTAGATTTGTTTACTTATGTATAAATGTTTTGGCTTAAATGATATTTACACATAAGCAAACCAGTAAAAGCATCTGGTAGTTTTCAGGTATCTTTGTGCTTCTATTCAGTGCTGTGCTTCATAAAACTTTAAAAAACTTTTTATAATGGTCTGAGTCAAGCATGCATAAATTGATTGACTAGTATAGATTGTTTTCTCTAATGGAGACATCAAACTTGGATTTTTTTCAAATGAGTGAATAGTGAGTGGAGATTTGGGTATGCTAAACATCTCAGCAGCTTCTTTTAACTTGTTAACAGGAGATGATTCAGTAGTTTAGCACAAGTCAGTTAAAATCTAGTCTGTTGCCTGGCGCCAGTGGCTCATACCTGTAATCCTAGCTACTCAGGAGGCTGAGATCTGAGGATCATGGTTCAAAGCCAGCTTGGGCAGGAAAGTCCCTAAGACTGTTGGTTTTTTGTCAGTCATGGTACCTGAACTCAGCCTGAGTCCTTGTCCCTCAGCTTTTCAGCTGAAGGCTAGCACTTTATCACTTGAGCCACAGCACCACTTCCTGTTTTCCGGCTTATAGTGGTGCTGAGGAATCGAACCCAGGGCCTCATGCATGCAAGACAAGCACTCTACCACTCTACCAATGAGCCACCTTCCTAGGCTCTCCCCCACCCCCACCCCCCCACCAAGACTCTTACCTCCAGTTGATGACTAGAAAACCAGAAGTGGTGCTGTGGTTCAAGTGGTAGAGCACTTGCCTTCAGCTGAATAGCTCAGGGACAGTGCCCAGAAACCCCCCCCCCCCCACAAAAAAAAATCTAGTCTGCTTTGGTAGGGATTTGTAGTTTTTAAGCCTACCATCATTTGTCTTTTAATCTTTTACTTCTCTCCAGTATCTTCATATTGCTTTATCGTGCATTTATTATTATTTTTTTAGCATTTTGTAAATTTTCTAATACTATGAACCAAGGAGATTGTTGTTCCAGCCTGGTAACTTAATATAGAAAATGGATATAAGTATAGTTGGATGGATATAAGCTGTAGCTATCACCATAACTGGCTCTTTGCATTTAAGACTTTTTGTTACAGTGTATCAAAATACTTCAAATTTTAAAATGTTTAAAAATAAATTATATAACCTCAATATAGTAAACATTGTGACTAAAATTTGATTAAACAGTTTTCATTTTAACGTATACTACCTATTCTATCAAGTACTGAGATGGGGTATAAAATTTTCAATTAAAAATATGGATTTGTCTTTTTCTTTAGGTTTTGCTTCATAAGTTTTTATTTTGTTGGTGGTGGTCATAGGCCTTGAACTCTGGGCCTGAGCTGTCCCTCAGCTCTTCAGCTCAAGGTTAGCGCTCTACCACTTGAGCCACAGTGCCACTTCCAGTTCTCTGGTAGTTTATTGGAGATAAGAGTCTCATGAACTTTCCTGCACAGGCTGGCTTTGAACTGCGATCTTCAGATCTCAGCCTCTTTAGTAGCTAGGATTTTAGGCGTGAGCTACTGGCACCTGGTATGTTTCATGAATTTTGAAGCTAATTTATTAACAATACGTATGTATCTAGAATTGTATGCCTTCCTGAAGTAATCCCTTTTCTTTCCAAATTATAATCCTTGTAATTTCTCTTGTGCAATTCTCTTGTAATACTCTGCCTTGAAGTCTACCTTAATTAGATTCTCGTGCCAACATCTTACCTTTATCTTTGCTTTTTGCATGGTAATATCTTCTGATTATTTTCAACCTATCTGGTCTTACATTAAAACATAAAACTTAAGTCCTGCTTTTTAATTAACTTTGATAACTTTTGTTTATCCATTGCCGTATTTATTGGTCCAGTTCTACTATATATATTTCGTTTTTTGGTTTTTTTTGGTGGGGTCCAGACATGGGGCCTGAACTCTGGGCCTGGGCGCTGTCCCTCAGCTCTTCAGCTCAAGGCTAGCTCTCTACCACTTGAGCCACAGAGCCACTTCCAGCTTGTTTTTTCTTTTTTCTTATGTGGTGCTGAGGAATCGAACCCAGGGCCTCATGCATGCAAGGCAAGCATTCTACCACTGAGCCACCTTCCCAGCCATATATATATTTTAGACTGGTTAGAATTGCTTTGTAGGCCCCCAAGTCTCGTACATGTTTATATATTCAGTTTGTCTTTGTTCTTCAGATATTTGTGCTCCATTTCACTGACTTCCTTTCTGTTTTCTCTGTAAAACCATTGTAGTGGAATGTTTATCTCATTTACCCTGCTTTTCAGTTATATTATTTTTGAGTTTCTAATTGAACATACACGGAGGAGCTTTTCCTATTTATGTACTTAGTATGAACACCTAGTGTTTATATTCTTACGTAAGTACTTTAGAATTCATATTTATGAGTATTTTAAAGCAGAATTCTATGTCTTTGGGGACATTTTCTATTAATTGTCTTTGTCTTAATAAAATACATTTTCCTTTGCCTCTGTATTAGTTTTTAAATTATGTAACAGACCTTTTTGGCTAAAATGGTAAATAATTTGACTTTTGATATTTGTCTTTGAATGGTGTTGATTTTCATTTTAGTAGCTTATTCAGTTTCTTGCCTAATTAGTGCAGGCTTAGTTTTACACTTTCTAAAAGTATAAAAATGTGTTGGAAAGATCAAAGTGTTTCCCAGGTCCTTTTAACTCAGCCTCCAAATTCTGCTCTTTTGATCTTTTAAAGTTTGTCATTAGCTTTTGTAAGTAGGATAGAATAGGACTTTGTTTGGAGTGTAATTGTTTCTTGTAAGATGTCAAATAGATGCCCAGGAATTTAAGCAAGATTTCTTCACTTTTGCTTTACTGGGAATCCAGTGTCCTTCCACTGTGGCTTAATGTCGGGGGTTTCTGTTTGGCTATCAGTCTCATTGCAGTTTCTCCCTAGTAACCTGGGATATTTGATGTTTGGTAGCTCAGCCTTTAGCCAGTCACTCCTTTGCAATTTCTAGGGATCCCATTTGTACTTTCCATGTGCCTTTCATCATCCAGCTGCCTTATTCACCTTGAACTCTAGTGTCTGCCTCCTCAACTCAGCCAGACCACTGTGCTTTGTGCTAGATAACCACTTGCTCTACACTGGTTGAGATGCTGATTTCAAGCTGTTTCTGGGTCATTATGGGAATTACTTGATAATGTTCTCCTCTCTCAGGATTATAGTCTTGTGCTGTTTATTTTCCAAAACTTGTCAAAACCATTGCTTCATGTTTTATTTTGTTTTGTTTTTTGGTCAGTTGTGGGGCTTTAACTCTGGACCTGGGTGCTGTTCCTCAGCTCAAGGCAAGCACTCTACCACTTGAGCCACATTCTGGTTTTCTGGTTGTTAATTGGGGATAAGAGTCTCATGGACTTTTTCTGCCCGGGCTGGCTTTGAACCGTGATCCTTAGATCTCAGCCTCCTGAGTAGCTAGACTTATGGGCATGAGCCACTTGCACCTGGAAACTGTTGCATATTTTCTCCTTGTTTCTCCTATTTATATAGTATTATGCTTTTACTTTTTATTCATTAGGTAAGAATAATTTTCTTTTGCAACTGAAGTTTTTAATAATATAATTCTTTAAAATTAAAGTATTAATTTTTCTGCTTTAAAAAATTCACAGGTTCGTCATAAGGCATCACAGAAGGTTTATGCTATGAAGCTTCTTAGTAAATTTGAAATGATAAAAAGATCAGATTCTGCTTTTTTCTGGGAAGAAAGAGATATTATGGCCTTTGCCAACAGTCCTTGGGTGGTTCAGGTAAGCATACCAATTTTCATAAACTTATAAACTTACATTCTTTTTTTTAAAGTATTGGTTATTCATAAGAGTTTGCTTTGAACATCCTCTGCCTCGTTCACATAGTAATAATGTTGTTTTTCATAAGATCTTTTTCATTATGCTTGTTTAATGTTCCTAAATAATACTTGCATAAACATGACATGTAATAATTAAATTCATTATGGAAACAACTTGTAGTGTGTGGGTGTGTGTGGGTGTGGGTGCTTTGTGCTGTGTGCTTTTCTTTTAACTTTTTTTCCTCAATGTTGGCACTCTACCACTTCATCCACAACTCCATTTCCATCTTTTTGATGGTTATTTGGCCATGAGAGTCTCACAGATTTTCCTGCTTAGTCTGGCTTTGAACTGTGATCTTCACATCTCAGCCTCCTGAGTAGCTGCGATTACAGGCATGAATCCCTGGCACCTGGCTATGTCTTTAAGTTTGCTGATCATTTCTTTAGTGTCTAACTTCATCCCATTCTATTTTTACTCAGCAAAACTGTTATTTTATTAATAGTTCATTACTGGGTAGTATTTCATTGTATTTCATTCATAAATAACAGTTCATTCATCTTTTAACTAATTAGGCTGCTTTCAGTTTTCCTCTTTAAAAAATAAAGTTGCATTATTATTTGAGTCAATTGTAAATAAGTTGTTTCTTTGAAGACCTACTTCTTTAAGTTTTGTTAGGGTTAATTTATAGTTACCGTTGATGGAAAAATATATAACTTTTTATTGTCATTCTATTGGCTGTATCTGCCCTTATAACTTGTATTAATTATATTGAGGAATATCTTGCATAACATAAAGTTAATTTTTTTATGTATACAACTTAATGCTGTTCAGGAAATTTACAGGGATGTATATCCATTATTACAATCAAGATTTCAGAGTATTTCCATCATTTCAAAATTATTTGCTCATTTCCTGTTATCCTTTTAGCTTCAGACAACCACTAATTTATTCTCTGTCTTTATAGAGTTGCCATTTCTAGACATTTCATATATAAGGAATCATAAATATGCTATCTTTTGCATCTGGTATCTTTAGCATACTATTTTTAAAGTACATTTACATTCTACATCTATCATACTTAATTGTCTTTTCTTTTTCTTTTTTGGTGGGTCATGGGGCTTGAACCCTGGGCCTGGGCGCTGTCCCTGCGCTCTCTTCAGCTCCAGGCAAGCGCTCTACTTCTTGAGCTACAGCACCACTTCTAGTGGTTTATTGGAGACCAGTCTCATGGACTTTTCTGCCCAGGCTGGCTTTGAACCGTGATCCTCATATCTCAGCCTCCTGAGTAGCTAGGATTACAGGCGTGAGCCACCAGTGCCCGGCTTTAATTTTCTTTTGATGCTAGATAATATTCTGTTGCATGATGAGGTATAATAAGGAATGTATCTGGTCTTTTCCCCACTTTCTGGTGGATAGCTTTAGAAACCTGAAGTTGGTTGTTTAGTGGGGTTTTTTTTTTTTTTTTTTGGTCGGTTGTGGGGCTTGAACTCTGGGCCTAGGCACTGTTCCTTAGCTCTTAGACGAGCTGTACCCTACCACTTGAGCCAAAGTGCCACTTGTGGTTTTCCGAGTGGTTTATTGGAGGTAAGAGTCTCCACGACTTTCCAACCCGGGCTGACTTTCCTGCTGGCTGAAGTTGAACTGTGATCCTCAGATCTCAGCCTTCTGAGTAGCTCAGATTACAGGCGGGGGCTCAAAGTTTTTTGAATGATAGGAATGTTTTGTGGCCTGAGGATTAGAGCTTTCAGCTACCAGACCTTCAGTGAATATAATGGGGGTTGGTAATTGACTTTAATGTCTTGGCCCATGATTTGTTTAATCATCATGCCTGTAATGGGTCTGGACATTGACCTGGTTTGGAGCATACTTCGTGGAGCTGCTCAGAGAGCAGTGCATCCTGATTTCACAGGGAGAGAACCCAAAAATCAGGCAGCTGCCAGACTTAGCCCTCAGTGGATCATTTGGGGTTTTTTTGGTTCAAGGCCAGGACTCGAACTCAGTATCTGATGCTTACTTTTGCTCTTTGGCTGACACTCTACCTTCTAAGCTACATCTCCAACCCGCTCTGTGTATCCTTTATAATGAAACTGTAACAGTGCTTTTCTGAATTCTGTGAGTCATCTTAGTGAATTGTGGGAGCCTGAAGAGGTTGTAGGAACCCTTTAGGATGTAGTTAGTCTGTCAGTCAGGAATGGAGATGGGATTCCTGAAGGGCTGATTTCATAAATTTTAACTATTTTAGTTGTAATTTGTCTTTTTCATTGTTAATTATACTTTTGGTTTTGGTTTATTAATAGGACATTTGGGTTTTGTTCTGTTTGTTGTTTTGTTCTTTGGTTTTTTACTTTTTCCCCTTTTATTTTTGTTTTTCAGCTCTTTTGTGCTTTTCAAGATGATAGGTATCTTTACATGGTAATGGAATACATGCCCGGTGGAGACCTTGTAAACCTTATGAGTAATTATGATGTGCCTGAAAAATGGGCCAAATTTTATACTGCTGAAGTTGTTCTGGCTCTGGATGCAATACACTCCATGGGTTTAATCCACAGAGATGTGAAGCCTGACAACATGCTCTTGGATAAACATGGTCATCTAAAATTAGCAGACTTTGGCACGTGTATGAAGATGGATGAAGTAAGTAAGCAAATAAAATAATACTAGTGTTTTGTTTTTGTCTTTTTTTTTTTTTTTTATCGGTCATGGGGCTTGAACTCTGTGCCTGGGCCCTGTCCCTGAGCTCTTCAGCTCAAGGCTAGTGCTCTACCACTTGAGCCACAGTGCCACTTCCGGTTTTATGGTGGTTAATTGGAGTCTCATGGACTTTCCTGCCTGGGCGGGCTTTGAACTGTGATCCTCAGATCTCAGCCTCCTGAGTAGCTAGGATTACAGGCGTGAGCTACCAACACCTGGCTCACAATGCTGTTTTTTTAGAAGCAAGTAAATGCAAATTAGGATTTTGTAGCTTGAATACAAATAAAACCAAATTTAAAAAATTACAGCAATCATTTATTCAGCTGTAAAATATTTTATAAGCAGATTTGGCAAATATCAAAGAGATGTAACTTACCTTCCTTATACTATGTAGATAAGAATTTGCTGCCAATCACAACTGATTCATGAACTAAGCATAGAATTAGAGCACAAAATCTAAAATGTAGCTATTGCCACTACCATTAAAGGAGATAAATGGAAGGAAAGAAATTTATTCTTCCACTTCTCATTCCCTTTGCTTAAACTATAAAGAATATATTTGGAGGCATAATCTTATGTGATACCTTCACTTATAAAATAATTCATGTTATTAGTAGCTTCAGTAACATTAACCTTATAGCTAATTGTAATAGTTTTGCTTTGATCGTAAAATTTGTTATCATTTTTTGCAAATACTGTAATTCCTAATGGAACAGGATCATTAAAAAAAGTTTTTGGCTTTTTATTTCCTTATTGGATCTAAAAATGACTATATTACAACAGACTAGATATCATTTTTGGTATGGTATTCATAACTTCCAGGATGCTTACACACACACACACACACACACACACACACACACTATTCATAACTTCCAGGATGCTTACACACACACACACACACTTGTTTAGTCAAGCCAAGTATTTTGCATTAAGATAATTTTCTTCTGGCCACATAATTTATGTCATACTTTGGCATCTACTTTTATTGTTTTATCAGCAGTCTATTGTTTCTCAAAATCAGCTCAGATTTTGTTTTATCTGGAAAGTTCTCCCTGATAGCCTTCTACTGACCTCTTCTACTCACTCTCCTAAGTCATAATGCCCTGGAGAATTTGGAATGCATGGAGTATTCAGAAAGTATGCCTAGAAAGCCATACTTTCTAGGTAATGTGTTTCTAACTTAAAACTTCAAATTCCTTTCCTTTTTGGTGTTCTTCCTGGAGTATGGTATTATGTATTATAACCAGTAATCAATTAGTGTTTGATAAATTGAGGTTTCTTTATTGTTTCCAAAACTCCCTTTTATTGTATGTAGTATAATGTAGTATGGAATGATTAATAGTGAAAATTACCAATAATGAAAATAAAGTTTGAAATCATTTTCTGATAGAATGCTCAAATTTCCTGTCTGGTATACATAATCTGTGATGCTTATATACTGCACTTCCATGAGTGTATCCTGACTTTAATTAAGCCGGTAGCTTTTGGGATAAGGGTGCAAAAAAAAAAAAATATATATATATATACACACATGTTTTTTGTGTTTTTTTTTTTTGTCGATCGTGGGGCTTGAACTCTGGGCTTAGGTGTGCTCCTTGCACTCTTCAGCTCAAGGGGATCACTCTACTGCTTGAGCCACAGCACCATTTCCAGAAGCAAATATTAAAACCAGCAATTGAGACATCTCAGGTTGTCTCTAAAAACAAAATATGGCTTATTAAATTTATTTCTGATTTTTAAAAATTCAAGTAAAGAAATTGAATTAATTATTTTCCTTGGCTTATAATTTATTGTTGTATCTACACAAAGTCCCCAACTATTTTTATTTTCTTCTGTTCAGTTTCTAATTGTCTTTGTAGTCCTTGAAATCCACCAATACATCATGTTTACTATTCCCTTTCACAGAGTATTAGCTTAGTATGCATGTATATTCTTGGTTTATATATATATATATAGTTTATTAAAATACATAGCATATTGTTTTTATGTCCCTAATAAATGAAAAGTAGTTTATTGCATCATATTGCTGCTTAGCACTCCACAGTATTTTCCTTAGTTTACTTCTTTATTCCCCTGGCATAATACGTCTTTATTCCTCTGGCATAAACCCCTAAGTCACTCCAACTCCCTGCTTTAGTAATACTGTCTTGAACAACATCATACAAATTCTGTGTGTGTCCTGGTGAAGGTTTTTCTAAGTTAAACCTAGTACTGAGAGGCTGGGCACATGGCTAATACCTAGCTACCTACTCAGGAAGCTGAGATTTGATGATTGTGGCTCAAAACCAGCCTAATCCATGAGACAGAAAATCCATCTCTAAAAGCACCAGTATAAGGCCAGTCTAGAGGCATGGCTCAATTGGTAAAGGGCACGTGAGACCATTAGTCATACCCTAGTGCCCTCAGAAATAAAGCAAGCAAGAAACAAATGCTACTGCTGTAGCGAGTATTGCTTCTGGTATTCCACAATGGCCTCGGTCATTTAGAACCTCTTCTGGTAGTTCATGAGAGGTCTTTTCTCTCCATGTCTGCAGTAGCTTTCCTACTCTCATATCCAAATGTTACCAAATCCATTTGGTGGAACTTTTTAAAAAACTTCATAAGTAATGATAATTAATAAGTAATGATGTTTATAAATAATGATAATTTCTTCACAGATACTTGTCAGCCATATCACTTTGTTAATTGCTTGTACATCTTTTGATCTTTTTAAGATTGGCTTCTTAAAACTTTTTTTATTATCTTTAAGTGGTTATACAAAGAAGTTCCCATTCTACAAAACGGTATATGAATACAAAAGTGTCTTAAGATTGGCTTCTGATAGGTGGCTTTCTTATATGATCTATGTATAATTCCACATACTGTGGTATTTTCCAGCCTGCCACCCATCTGTCACTGAAAAAGGAATTAACAGTAAGAGAGAAACGTGTAATTTGATGTAGGCAAATGCTTTTAAAATATTGAACTTTAATTAAGTTGTCTTAGTCCATACCTCTATTCCTCAAATAATACTAATAAAAATGATGAGCCGGGTGCCGGTGGCTCACGCCTGTAATCCTAGCACAAGAGGCTGAGATCTGAGGATCATGGTTCAAAGCCAGCCTGGGCAGGAAAGTCCCTGAGACTCTTATCTCCAGTTAACTAACAGAAAACTGGAAGTGGCACTGTGGCTCAAATGATAGAGCACTGGTCTTAAGCTAAAGAGCTGAGGGACAGCACCCAGGCCCAGAGTTCAAGCCCCACGACCGACAAAAAAAAATTATGACTCCATAATGTTGAAGGATAAGGAAGTTTGTTTCAAAAACTATCACATAGAACTTAAAATTTTAATATTGTTAGTATGAATAATGTCATTGTAGATTTTAGGTTTATCACATTGTTTATTGAAGTCACTACAGCAGGGAAGGCTCCAGAAATGTTATAATTTCATTTTCTTCACCTGTGGATAGAATTGGCAGACGAGAGCCTTAGGCCCATATGATGGCGTATGGTTTGGTTTTGTGTAGCCTATGTGGTAAAAGTGATTTTTGCATTTTACATTTTCAAATTTTTACATTTACTTAAGGTAAAATATGACAGGAGCCCTTTGTAGCTCACAAAGCCTACAGTATTTATTTTTTTGCCAGTCATGGGGCCTGAACTCTGGGCCTGGGCACTCTCCCTCAGCTCTTCAGCTCAAGGCTAGGGCTCTGCTACTTGAGCCACAGCATCATTCCGGCTTTTTTTGCTTATGTGGTCCTGAGGAATCGAACCTAGGGCCTCATGCATGCAAGGAAAGCACTCTACCACTGAGCCACCTTCCCAGCCCCACTACAGTATTTATGTTCAGGCCTTTTATAGGAAAAGTGTGGTAGCCTCTTATCTGTAAATAGGTGCTCAAATAGTTTTTCAGCTATCCTGGCTCCCTATAAAATATTATGTCATGCATAACAGCAAAAAAAAAATACAGCTATAAAATTTTCAATTAGAGGGCTAGGAAGGTGGCCCAGTGGTAGAGTGCTTGCCTTGCATTCATGAGGCCCTGGGTTCAATTCCTCAGCACCACATAGCAGAAAAAGCCAGAAGTGGTACTGTGGCTCAAGTGGTAGACCACTAGCCTTGAGCTGAAGAGCTGAGGGACAGTGTCCAGGCCCAGAGTTCAGGCCCCACGACCAACAACAACAACAACAAAAAATTCAAGTAGAGCCATGCACCGGTGGCTCACACCTGTAATTCTAGCTACTCAGGAGGCTGGGATCCAAAGATCACGGTTCTAAGCCAGCCTAGGCAGAAAAGTCCATAAGATTCTTAGCTTCAATTAACTACCAGAAAACAGGAAGTGGCACTGTGGCTCAAATGGTAGAGCGCTAGGAGTGTTGAGCATAAAAGCCAAGGGACAGTGCCCAGGCCCTAAGTTCAAGCCCCACACTGACAAAACAGCAAAACAACAACTTTAAATTAGAAGGACTAAAATAATTTGTTACTGTTATTATTAATCATAAAGATATCTTACTAAGTTCTGTCTAATAAATTGTTTTCTGAATGTTCTTCCTTTTTCTCAAAAAATAAAAAATTTTTGAATGTGAGTTATATTGTATATCTCAATGTGTCTCAGTTACTGCTGAGAAATGACTTGAATGCAAATAAATGGACATGTTAAATTGAACCCCCTTGTACAACCACGTGAAGTTAAAAAAAATCCAAAGTAACATTTAGTTGTTGTCAGTGGTGGTGCTTGAACTCAGGGCCTGAGTGCTGTCCCTGAGTGCTTTTGCTCAAGGCTAGCTCTCTACCACTTTGAGCCACAGCACCATTTACAGTTTTTGAGTGGTTAATGGAGATGAGTCTCATGGGGACTTTTCTGCCCAGGCTGGCTTCGAATGGCAGTCCTCAGATCTCAGCCTCCTGAGTAGCTAGGATTACAGACATTAGCCACTGGCACTCGGCCAAAAAACAAAATA